TTCCAAACCCATGCAAACTGGAATGCGTCCTCAGAGTGTGAAGTGTGCTTATCCTGATCTCCCACTTCCTTTATCCTCAACCTTGATGGGGTCCTGGAGAGAGCGTGGATCCGCTGGTGGATGGATGTAAGTGGGGACAGGTGCCAGGACGTAGGACAGGGGAGAGCAGAGTGCCCAGAAGAAGCATCATTGGTGCTGCGTACATGATTTAAAACCTTCTGGTAGTCATAGTAAAAAGGAACAAGTGAAGGCCGGTGAGATAGCTCAGCAGACTAGGCATCTGCTTTGGCAAGCGCAGGGACCAGGGTTCAATCCCTGCTCTCACATGCCACACCAGCCCCACCCCTTGGCGTGCTGAGCTGGAGACTCGAGTGCAGGTGTGGCGCATGCCTAATCCCAGTGCTGGAGAGGTTGAAAACAGGATCACTACGAGTCTGAGCTGCGTAGTGAGACCCTGTACCAAACACATAAATGGAAAAAAAAAAAAAAAGGAACAAGTGAAACTTCTCTTAATATTAGACTTTATTTAACCCAATATACCCAAAAAGTATTTAGTGAGATTTTTTCATGTTTTTTTTTTGTATTACATTTTTGAAATCAGTGATATTTACACTTGTTGCCTGTTTCACTTTGTATTTGCCACATCGCAAGTGCTTGGTGGCTACGTGTGGCTCCTGGCTTCCGTACTGGCTAGCACCGCTGTGCAAAGCTATTCATGGGTGGCAAGTGAAAGTGGGCATCTTTCTAAAAAATTCCAAGACATAATACACAGCCTGCACATCCCTGAGAGTTAAATCTCATAGCAGCCTCTATGACCAAGATGAATGGGTACGCGGATAAAGACAGCTGAGTGTTTGTTTGTTTGCAGTAGAGTACACTCTACCATAAAAAGGGTGCACTTGAGTCATTTACAGGAAATGGATGCACCTTGAGACCATAATGCTCAGTGAAATAAATGCTACAAAAGCTTAAATATTGCATGTTTCTCTTAAATGAGAAGCTCAAAATAAAGGACAGAATGAAAGACAAGCCAGACAGAAAGCAGTAGGGTGATCTTTTTCAAGTGGGAAGGGACCAGGAGTTGGGGGGGGCGTGGAAGAGAGGGCGAGAGAAGGGAAAAAGAGCTGAGCTTCGTCATGTGTGTGGCCAGCTCCCCACCAGGTCTGCAGGCTTTGTACAGTGCACACAGGTACTAATGAAAAAGAAACACTGGATTAAAAATGGGCCCAGGAAAAGAAAAAAATATATACATCAAAGGGGAAAAAGTCTGAGGGTTGGCAGCCTGTGAGGTGAAAGGCTGACCTTTGGGATGGGTCTGAGCAATTCCCGTCTTCCCTAAGAGGCCACCCTGTGCCACGGCCACCTCTGCCCCCCAAGAATACTTGGTTTGTCTTTTAGCTCCATGTGATGTTAACTTAAGTGCAAACAGTGAGAAATTAAATCCGGGCTAATAGGATGAGAGTTCATTTGCCTTCTTTCTTCATTATTCAACAAATGCAGTGTGAGGAACGCAGCCCTTTCACCCTGTAGGCATGGTGTTCATTGTACCATTCAGATGTTAAGATACAGCCCGAGACACAGGAAGGCATCAGCCGGGCCTCCAGCACCCTCCAACGCTGTTGTCCCTTGGGGAGTGCTTGCCTGTTGTCCTTACTACACATCACAGCGCTAGAGAAGGAGCACCTGGAGCACCTGGAGTGAGACGTGTACGGAAGTTACAGGCCCGTTTTAAGAACAAGTAGAACCTAGGTGCTGATCCTAACCCAAGACGGAGGTGATGTGTAGAGATTAGATTACTAGAGGACTACACATCTGTGCTCAGTGGCTTTGCTATCAAGTCCTCAGTCTTCTCTGAGCCTTAAAATTCTCTCTTGTGCCCTCCCCAAGTCAAAAGATTAATACAGAATTCAAGTGAAGTAATTCACTTAATGTATTTATAAAATGCCAGGTTCTTTTTACTATATTTGATTCACTGATCCACAACTATTAGCTTTTTTTTTTTTTTTTTTTTTTAACCAGATATTTATTTATTTATTTATTTTATTTTTTCCCTGTATTTTAGGGAAGGGTCTACAGGGTGTTCAGGGTCTCACTACTAGACTGGATTCATAGTGATTCTCCTGTTTACAGCCTCTCAAGTGAAGGGATTATAGGCGTGTGCCACCATGCCCAGTCTCAAGGGGCAGGGCCAGGCATGGCAGGCCTGGGGATCGAACCCCCAGCCCCTGCGCCTGCTTGCAGGCACTTTTTAATCCGCTGAGCTATTTTGCCGGCCCTTGAAGGCCAGATGTTGCTACATTATTCAACCTGGCCTTGAACTCACTACGTAGCCACAGCTGGCAGCCAGTAATCCTCCTGCCTCAGCCTCGCGAATGCTGGGGTAACAGGTTACAGTCATCATGCCTGGCTACCAACTGTTTGGTAGATGGTCAAATGCAGTAAAAATTTTAGGATTAAGCTGACCAAAGGATGTTGTCCACTTGTACAAGCTGTGAAGATCACACGTAGAGAGAGCACACATCCTGTCTTTGTATGGCTTTCACCTGAGGATATCAGGCCACCAGCTGGAATTTGGATGTGTGTGTGTGTGTGTGTGTGTGTGTGTGTGTGTGTGCGCGCACATGTGTAGACGCGCACGCTCACGCTACAGGGAGAATCAGAGACAGACACTTGTTGCATGAGGTGTGACCAGGTCTGTCTGGGCATCCTGCAGGCACGTGATGTCAGACTGAGATAAGTGAGGTCCTCTGCAACCTGGATCCCAAAGTTGACTTGAGAATTAGCAGTGGCCGCGCCACCAAGTGGAAGCCCACACTCTGCTTTCCGGCAAGTTCTCACAGGTTCAGGCGCGAGCCGCTGTGAAGGAGCGTGAAATGGCCTTCGCCTCTGTCTTTTCCTTCACTCTTGCCGGAGTTCCGGGGGATGGATTTGAGTGGCCACAGTTTGGAGGAGACTTCGGAGAAGCAGAGACTTCCTGAGGCGAGCACGCAGTGACGCCTGCGTAGAGCTGGGCTGTGCAGAGCAGGCTGGAAAGGAGGCAGCGTGCCCAGGAGGAGTGAATACGTGCTGCCGTGCTCCCTTCCCACGGCCTGTGTGACAGCGAGGAAGGCACTCAGCCCCTCCGGGCAGCAGGGCTCTGGCTCTTTGAAGAAGACAGGATGACCCATCTGTTGCGCTCTTCTGCATTTCTGGGCCACTCGGTGAGCCCCCCGAGAAGGCGGGAGACGGACTGAGGCTGAAAGTCGTGAGGCAGGACGGTAGTGGAACCCAGGAGGCACATCGTGCTTCCTCGCTGTGTACTTCAGGGGAGCCCCTCACTCTGGGCATCTCTAGGGAACCAGTGGCTCCTACACGAGTGTTTCTGAGGCCATGGAGTGGCTGTGGCCCGTTGCAGTTCTTGCGTGGTACCTGGAGGTTTTGAAATGTTTATTCAAAAAGAATTCCTAGCACTTGGCTCTGGGGGCAATTATTTCAGTCTTTCAGTGGAGGCCGGCCCTCGCCTTGAGAGACCTACTCAAAGGCCGACCTGCAGGGCGTGACTGCTCCTATTTCCATGTCAACATGTGGCGTTTGGGCAGAGTGACAGTCTCCTCTCTGTGTCTGTGTGAGGACATGCCTTCCTCCGCCCTGGGGACAAGCTCCGCCCTCTGGGCCTCTGACCTCCATTTAGAGCTATAGTGTGTGTCATATGCAGCTTTTTCCAAGGAAGTGGTCTTGTTTGCTACTTTGACTATTAACCAGTAATGCTTCAAAGGGATTCTGTTGCAGTTTTGGTAAGCATCCAGTTACGGCAGACCTAATAGTTTTATAAGTGTCCTCCCAGTCAACAGAAACTTAAACTGGCTTTGGGCTAGCAGCGCTCCCGAGATGCTTCTCAGCTGAGAGTGAGGGGAACAGCTGCGTGTGGCTCCTGGAGGGACATCTGTGTTCCACACGACACCCCTTGTATGTCTGTCTCCTGCGAGTCTGGGGACCGTGTGTTGCCTACTGTCACCTGTGGCGGCCATGTTTTCAATCCCATTTCATTGCTGGAAGCTTGCTTCTAACTCTGTACTTCTGCATTTTCTCCTCCGCATCCACCCTGTTGTCACGGAGGCTCAGTGGCCACAGGTGCCACGGGTGTCCCGTGTCATCTGAGTGTGATGGTGTAGTACGTGTACTTGCTCACTCTTTTATTTTGAATCCTCCACAATGTGACATCTGCTAAAATGTCTCCCTTATGATTTGCTTGGTGATCACAGCCGTCTCATCATTCATTGAGAGCAGGACCTGACCTCACAGAATCTGAAAAGAGCTATGTGGTAAGACGCCTATTGAATGAGACTGCGGTAGCCTTTCTCCAGAGAACCCTGCTGACCCCCAAGCTTAGAGCAAGGCCTGGTCAACTCCCAGAGCCATTGTGTCCCAGAGTCTGTAGTGTCGCAGTGGAACCAAATGTTAGGTCACCCCTTTAAAAGAGCAGAGAAATGTAGAGATTATTTTTTCACTCTGCCCATATGTGAGATTAAGTTAATGTATTAGTGCATGACTGGGGATACATTATTGCATTTTTGTCCTGAGATAATTCCATTTGTAACGTTACTCACTAATTAGAGTCTTTTATGCTACTGCCCATCTGTTTTTTTAATATTCATACTAAATCCCGAATTCTTCTGTATCTTGCCTGTCTTTCCATGCTTACGCCTGGATTCCTCCCGTACTCCACTACTGGAATATCTATTTTTTTAACCTGGATCTTCAACTCTGTTTTTCCCTGGACTCACATGCTTCGTCTGGAATGTTACATCTCTTCTCTCTCTCTCTTTTTTTTGTTGGTCCCCAATGACTGTTCTCTGGGGGTTTCTGGATATGTCGGGGCCACCTCACAGGAAGCAGTTTGCAATGAGATCATAAACATTGCCGAGAAATCTGTCCATTACTGCAGCACTGTCTCTCATCCCCTTGACTTGCGTCACAAGGTTTCCCCTTCTGACAATAAACCATCTTTAATCATTTCTCAGCAACCTCAAGCCCAGCAGCGAAGAGTCACCCCAGACAGGAGTCACACTTCACAAGATTTGTAAGTACACGTGGTGGATTTTGGTTCTCCTGTTCTTGGTGTGCTTTGGGCCTCAGAAAGCGGATCATTGGCAGGTTGTGGGTGTCGACATTTGGAGAAATGAGCAAATCATTCTTTCCTTCCCGAGGGTTTCTGACAAAGGCCATGTGAATACAGGTGGTGGGTAAATAAAGGTGGTCACGGACTACTGTAAGGCAGAGCCTGGTAAAGAACTAACTGGCAAAGGAGAGCACTCCTGCTGGTGTTCCGTGCTAGGTTTTTGGAGAACATAGGAAAAAGAATAGTTGATTCTGACCAGAAATGAGTAAGTTTGATTCTTTGCTTCATTCAAAAATTTATTGGATATTTGCTGTGCTTTATGTATGTAGGAAATTCTGTTCACAGATAAAGGGGAATTTGAACCAAGCTTTGAGAGAAAACTGGATCTGAGAACTAAAATAGGAAAGAAAAAGTCTTTCTAGATGAGACCGCGTATGCAAAAGCATGGGTGGGCAGTGTCAGCGAACCCCAGGAAGCCTGTGTGATGCAGTTATGGTTCACAAGCAGGTAGAGCTGAAGCTCAGGAGGATGGGGCCAGATGGTGGGGTCCACGGTGCAGCTACAAGGAGGCCACTGAAGGTTTTTGAAGTGAGCAACATATTGATCATATTTTTGTTTTAGAGAGTTAAATTCTGACCACAGCATAGAATTGCATTTCAAAGGACAAAAATCATTGTTCAGAAGATGCAAATCTGATCAAGAAGTGAGGAGGGCCTCAGCTAGGACAGAATAGTCTCTTGTACCTGTGGAAGTAGATGAGATAACCCACAGGGACATGGGCTAGCAGGAGGTGCAGGTGATGTTCTAGGAGTGCTCACTTTCACAGACCAGGGCAAGTGACAGCTGGTCAGCAGTGCCACCTACCTGGGAGAGGCCAGGGGAAGAAACAGGAAATGTCCAGCAGATACCTGTTCTTCTTATCCACTGGAAAATTCACTGTTGAACGCTGATGATAGCAGTGTTACTAGAGAGGTGGATGCAGATGTTGTTTTGGGAAGTGTTGACGTAAGACTGGTGTTTGACTGCGGTGGGAGAGATACGGGAAGAGCCCAGACCTGCACACCTGCGATAGCGGAGGGCCTGGCAGAGCTGGGCAGTGCGAAGGAGAAGGCGTAACATTCATTAAAGGTTGATAAAACGGAAACGAGGTTTGGGGGCTGGGGAGATGGCTCAGTAGAATAAGTGCTTGCCTGGCAAGCACAAGGGCCTGAGTTCAATCCCCAGTTCTGCCCCAAAAAAAGAAAGAAACGGGGTTTAAAACCACCCTGCTCTTGTCAGCATTTTTTTCAGTCACTTACTCTTCTTTTCTCATTTGTAGATTTAGCTACCAAGCATTGTATAGCTACACACCTCAAAATGATGATGAGTTGGAACTCCGAGATGGAGATATCGTTGATGTCATGGAAAAATGTGACGATGGGTGGTTTGTCGGTAAGGATGTCGTCATGCCTCTTCCTAATTGTGTAGTAAGGAAGAACTAGGAGTGGCAAGCCAGGCGACAGCCAGGCTTCTCTGCACAGAGCAAAGAGCCTTCTCAGTCTCTGTAGCAGCCAGTCTGTCTGTGCCAGACATGGTCTCCATGTTGCTAAAGTTGGGGCTAGAAGCCAACAATGGCAGTGTCTGCTGGATGGAAGGAAGGACAGTCATCAGATTCATTATTGTGAATTAATTGATTTTCTCTAGTTATATTTTCACTTGTATTTTATTGTGTTTGTATCTGCTTTAAGTTGAGAAAATTTATTTTTAAAGGTTTTATGAAACAACACAAGAAAATTCTGATAAAGGCTAAGTCTGTACTATGAAACCCAAATATATGTGTTGCTATCCCAAGGACCTTATTTACTCTAGACTTCTAATGACCTTGTTCAAAGAGTAACCTACTTAATTAACACAAAGGAGGGCTAGAGCTCCAGATCAGTGGTGGTGTGTTTGCTTGGCAGGCACAAGACCCTGGGCTCCATCTCTTCAGCACTGCAAAACGGTAACAAAGAATTCATCTTTATAGGAAGGGAAGGAAAAAAAATCAACATTTATTCAAATTTTATTACAAAGCCAACCCCTGTGCTTGACACATTTTTTAAAATAACATTCTCTCAGCAAACATCCCTGCAAACCAAGATTTATCTTCATTTAGTGATTCAAAAAATGAGGACCAGAGATGTTAAGTAAGTACCTAAAGATCACGCAAGTAGGGAACTGTGGGGTTAAACCGCGCTCAGGCTGCCGTCTCCCCCCGGGCCTCCCCTCCTTCGCCTCCTTTCTGAGCATAATGCGAGGAGCTTGGCCTCCTCTTTGCTTTAATTTCCCTTTTCCAGAGAGCTGCTCTTCCCCATCTCTCTGGGAAAGACGTCTAAGGCAATGTCAGACTGCAGTTGAGAACAGCAAGTGCTCAGCATGCACAGGGAGGCAGAGCTTGTGCTGGCCTCCTCGGCGTCTTGGGACATGAGCCAGTGTTCCCCAAGCTCCCAGAGACCGAGGCTCTCGTGACGCTGAGTTCTCTTCAGAAGAGAGTCAGGTCTGCGAAGTCAGCAGCCCCTACAGTGCAGTGCAGTTCAATAGAAATGTAGGTAAGCTGTGTTGGAGATTTAAATTTTTCCAGAAGCAATATTGAAAAGAAATCAGTGAAATTCTACATATTTTATAAACCTGCTGTATTTAATACACCATTTGATCGTGTAATCAATGTAGAATTATTGTTTACGTTCTTTTCATACCAGGCTTTCAGAATCCAGTATGCTTTGTAGTTACAGCTCGGCTCCTTGACGTCACGAAAGGCTCCTTTCCACCCAACCGTATTTCAGGAACTGTCACCACGTGTGGCTGTGATATTTGAGAGTTTAGTGCTCATGTGTGTCAGCTATCAAGCTCTTCCAAGAGCATTTCCACTTTTGAGTAGGGAGAGGGACACCCCAGGTCACCGGAGAAGGAAATGTCTGGGGATGATGAGCTTGTTTGCGCACCTCTGTTACTTCAAAAAGTATCTTAGTATTCAAAATGTAAGCAGAGTAGCCCAAAACAACTTACTTTTCTCATCCATGAGGAGAGGCACTAACCTGGTACTTTCCTCATCTGGAGTGAGCATGTGCGAGTTTCTCACCAGCTCTGGGTACCACCATCCCAGTCCTCCGCACCTTCTTGATCATCTTCCTTCGGGATCCGACTAGACGTCTTCCATGACTTCAGCCACACCATGCTCTTTTGCTTAGAAGTTGCACTGTGTGGAGGATCCGAACCTGCCAAATGTCACTGCTTGAGCTGCTGCCCTGCTGCTCTAAAGTGAAATCCAAGCCAGCTGGGAAAAGGCAGCGTGCACATCACGATTCATAACATGAGAGATTAATGCAGATACAACGTAGGCTGGCACCTCCTGCTGGAGGGAAGGGACAAGATTGGGGACCTAATACCTGTGCTCAAGGAGCAACCCAGCAAGGGCTTTGTCCAGGGGGTTCAGTGCTCCTGCCTTGCTGGGACCAGAACACGGTTGGTGGCAAAAGCAAGGAGCCAGGCTTTGGTCTGGGCTTTGAGAGCAATGTCTTGTGCGCTGTCGTCATTGTCGGGGACCTGTCGGAAAATCCTACCCTTTAGAAGTTCTAAATCCTAGGTGTCTTTCATGTTGGATAAATGTGCTGAGTCCTTCAAAAAGGAGAAATGTTTGAAAAAGCAGTGAGCTGGGAGTGAAGAGGCCTGGATTCAGATTTTACCTCCAACACTTATTAAATTAAGGGACCTCAAAAGTGTTGCATAAGGTCTTTGGACCTGGGTTTCTTTTTTTTTTTGAAAAATAGGAATGTTAATACACCTATTTTACTTACCACACAGCAAAAATGAGATGAGATAGGGGAAAGTGCTTTGGAAACCATAATCTCTTTTATAACCTGCAGGACTTTTATAAGGGACTTGGGCAGAAATCTATCTGTACAGTGCTGTCCCTGAACTTGGTGGGTGGGTCTCTCATTTTGTGTATGTGGTTTTTTTATAGGTACTTCAAGAAGGACCAGGCAGTTTGGCACTTTTCCAGGCAACTATGTAAAGCCTTTATATCTATAAGAAGATGGAAAAACCACAGAAATTCTTATTGGAGAATGAAGCAAAATTCACACACCAGTCTGTTTATTTAAATATTGAACCAGTAGGAAAACGAATGCAGTGGATAAAGTAAGAAATAAAGAAAAGGAACAGAGAATGTTGTATTTAAAAGCTAAGCTGTGTGTCAAGGCTGAGCCATGTGCTGGGCAAAAATAATGAAGGTAAATCTCTATGTACGTATTTGTTTCTGGAAGCTTCTCCAAACCTCCATGCCCCTGCCCCTCTTGGGTAACCTGACCTAAGCAAAGCCCAGGAGTAGAGGTAGGCAGAAATGCTTTCTGCTAGCCCAGCCTTAACAAACCCCACATCGAAGGGGTCCCTGAGCCTAAAGCAACCTTTGGGACACCACACAGGTCCCTGGCCATGTCCTAGAGGTGCTGAACTTGAGCATCTACTGATGATTTCATCCTCCATCCCTGCCTGCCTTGAAGAAAGCTGACCCCCCAGGAGTGGCTCGGGCATAGGGTAGGCTGCCGCTTAGGCTTTCCCTCTGCAGGGGTGCGAGCCCCCAGCCTGCCCAAGGTCCAGTCTCTCTGCCCATCTCTTGAGGTCCAGGGGAGGAGCTGGAGGCAGACGAGGAGCCCTGTGCATAGTGGCTGTTGTGCAGCGTTGCTGTTGGTGGCTGTGTTCAGACAGAAAAGCACAAAAGACTCATCCTGAGAACTGAGGAACAGGCAACCAGGCAGAAGTATTATATTGTTATTTTCATGTGATCATGTCAGGAAGCCCTGCAGATCTAGAGACCACTTACAATATGTCCCTGTCCCTGGCTTTTATAAGCAGTCAACTTGGGGGCAGTGCAGCTGGATCTATCAGGCCGCCGTCGCTAGCCTTTCCTTTCTGACTTGTGTTGCCTGGAACAGTGTGGGCTTGGTAGACTTCCTCTCATAGGAACTCCAGAGCAGTGCGTTCATCTAGAATGCGGCAACGTGCGTTGGCTTCTGGGGTTCCCATGAGAAGGGCACAGCCAGGCCCAGAAGGACTCCCTGTCTCCAGTTTTACTGCCGTTCAGAATGTAGACCTTAAGGCTGTGAATCCTGAGACTCCTGACGAGGCGCCCCTCAGGGCGGAGCGCGGAGCAGCTCTTCTGCCATGCTGGAGCCTCCTGGAGGTCTGTCTGTGGCGGTGCGGATGTGAGGAGGAGCCCTGGGACACCCAGAGCTCTTAGCTGCGACTGTGTCCAAGGTGTGATAAGGCTGGCTGTCAGCTTCTCAGTTAGAACCTTAGTGACCCAAACATAGAAGTGAAGTGCTTCCTGCCTGCCAGAAACTCAGAAGTGACTGGGGAGACAGACACGGAAAAGGACCTTAAGACAGACTGGGATAAGTGCTAGGAACGTGTGCGAGAAAGAGACGAGTTTCTCCTAGAAGGATCCTAGAAAGCACCGCCATGTTTCTGTCTGTTAGTTCATTTCTGAGAACTTTAGTCCCTGGTAGTTGGTGGCTGAAAATACTGGGAAGTTTTTCCACGGCCTTCATACTCTCCTCAGCCCCAAAATACACCTTCAAGGTCACAAAGAGGCATAGCAATTCTGTCATCGGTGTATGTACTGGAAACCCTGGATCACCGCATCCCTAAGAATTGCCCCAGAACAGTGTCCCACAGCCTGGAGTCTTCACAAGTAGGCAGAATGTGTCTTCAGCACCCTCACTCCGCTGCTGTCCCAGATGCCCGTCCTGGGATCCCCCCACCGCCCACACGGCCGCCGCAACGCCTCCACCTCTGCGTGTACTTTTTTCAAGGAGGCTTTCAGGAAGAACCCAAAATATCAGTGACTCACGAGGGGAATGAATGTGTTACCTCTTCCCAGAGACATTTGCTTTTCACTAAGATGGACCAGAGCCTTAAACCCAAGGAAAAAGACTGTGAAATTGTGGGGCGGGGATTTCTGGGGAGAAAGCCTTCGCGATTTTCTTTAGGTCTCAGTGACAATAGACATATGCTTTGGAGAATCTGCTCCACCATTCAAGAGCACGGTTGTTTCACTTTCTCGCGCGCTCTGAGGGAATAGATAAAATGCATATGCACGCGCATCTTGCACAACGGCGCTACACCTGTTTTGGAATGTAACCCATGTACTGGCTAATGTGTTTCCTGGTCTTTCTTAGATGCAAACCATTAACAATGTGATCTAATCTACTAGTCTTTTGAGGGGTGCTTCTTGATTAAGTAATTTTGAACACCTCTTTAAATACAGCTAGAAAATAAAACCAATTTGTAAAGCCACATTTGCATATAATGCCAGCCTCACATCTTTGTATAGTGCCCAAAACCCAGGTATGCCTCATCAACTGGCCCATCTTTAATAAAATATGTTAAAATACATTACTTTTGCTTCCTATGTATCACATGATGAAGAACAAGTGTTTCCAATTCCTTTTTTGTCTTCAGACATTTAGTAACATAAAATACCTATTTTTATGCTCAGATGTTTCTACAGGTTTATTACAGCAAGTGCAACTCACTGGCGCATGTCTTGGGACACGTTTTGATATACTAGCCATGCTTTTCAGGCGAAGGCAAGCCCACACTACTTACCTATTGCAGTCTCTCTGGGATCAGTCAAAGAAAATAAAAATCATGTGCTTGAGAAGTGGGACTGTAAATATGTATATTTAACTTTGTATAGCCAGTGTACCTAACTTGTATAAAAAATAATTTTAAAAATTTGAGTGAAAGTGGGGAGAGATAAGGAAGTCATGAAGTTTTTTGCCTTTTTATTTAAATGAAAAAAGTCCAAGTAACTCACCTGCAGACTTCTAGCACAAAAATAGCCGTCACACACTGTTAAAACTTACAGTAATTATTCTCTAGGGAGGAGAGAGTATAATCTTAGTTATAATTTTTTTAAATTTCATTTCATTGATGGGATTTTTTTGCAGCCCTGTTTATCTGCAGTAGCATTAAGTTCTATTGCTAGAATAGGTTACTACAAAAAGATTATGCTCTGAAAAAAAAGCAACTGACGTATGTAACCAATTAATTTAAAGTGTTCCACGTGAATTACACACCGAGGACATGTACTACGCAGGCACAGACTTTTTTGTTCATTTATTTTTCTTTATTGCGGTGGATTTAATAAATAGATGTGTTGAATTACTACCTTTATTGTACATATTATTTAATAAACTTTATTCAGAATTGTGTGGCATATGTTTGTTCTTGGAATTCTTTGGTTCTTTTCTTCCCTTGATTCACCTTCCATACTGTTCCTACCATTTTTAGCCTTGGTACAGGGGGAAACAATCCAAGGCCTACATACTGAATTACAGCCTTTATCTATTTGTTAATTTTTAATTTTATTTTAAAACAGAGTCTTGTGAATCATCGAATATCCTGGGCCGGGTGTAAACTTGCGATCCTCCTGTCCCAGCCCCCCAGAGCGCTGGGATTACGGGTGTGCACCACAAGGCCCGATTCTGAATTGCTTCCTGTCTGGCCTCAACAGCTGTTTGAAGATGCCACTTGTTTTGTCTCTCTAAATTGATTGACATTAACCATTTCTAAAAATTTGTTCTGATAACAAATATAGTGTACATTGTAGTGTTTTTCAAAGCAAAACTGAAGCATTATAAGCTATATACAGTGTCTTCTGTTAGGTTTTTCAGCACTGCAGTAAAGAAAGGAAAGATTTTGAAAGAGGCCTTGAATGACTGAAGACACAGGATCAACAGCAGGGAGGTGGGGGCCCTCTGGCCTGAGACAAAGGGTTCTGGATTTTTGCCAGGGTTGGAGCTTGAGGGGCAAGTTTAGTGACACCTAAGGAGATGATTGGGGTCTCCCTTGTGGTGCAGGAAAGGTGGAAGGAAACAGCATCCAGGACTGGGCTGGGGAAGGGGAAGTGGTCGCTGGAAAGACCAGCTGCTGTGTTTGAGCTTCAACCGTGTTAGACGACCACCATACTAACGCAGCAATTTATACTCGGGCCGGAACCTAGCGCCTTCATTTTCTCAAACTGTAGGAGGAAGACGGCACTTGGTTTTCCTAGATGTGAATCTCCGCTTACATGC